AAGTCTAAAATACAATTACTATGCACAAAAATATGAGGACAAAAATGTAAGTGCATATGCCAATACATAACTAATTAAAATCTTTCTAAATTGAATAAATTCAATAATTTATTAAAAACTCATTTCCATATGAGGACAATAAGTCCTTTTCTTTCTTTAGTATTGAAGCAAGAGATCTCTCAAAATACACAAGTCAAAGTACACTGATATGGGAAAACTGATAGCAATAGCAGAATGGGCCTCAAACTGCCTAGGTAAATGCTTTGTTTTCACTCCCTGACCCAAATGTGGCTCCCTTGAGAGGAACACAGCCCCTTGGGAAGTATTCCTTTTTCCCCAGAGCCTCCCCCTGAAGCACTCTACAAGCAGGGACAAGGCTGTGGTCCCTGAAGAACCTGAGTCTTCATGAGCAAGCAGGCGCTTGGGGCCACAATCAGCATTGGGGCCAAAAGCCACAATGCCTGGGGAGGCAACAGAAGGCAAAATACTCACTGTTCCCTGAGATCTGTCCTTCACGTCATACACGGAGAGCTTGATTTGCGTCATTTGATTGATAAGAGAGTCTTGGAAAAAGGCAATGCTGCTCAGAAATATAGGATTGCTTGTTCCCTATAATCATAAACAAAACAGATAAAAAATATAATGCAATGTGATGCTGATTAGGAAGAAGTACTTCTTGCGTTAGCTTCCGTTTTCAATCTAATCTGTCCGTATCTGACCACTTACCTCAATAATTTCTGTCTGTGCATGCTTTGTCCAGAACGCCTGAGGAGGTGTAGTTACACTCACTGCTACAAAACTATTTGGTTTTCGATCTAGCGACGGAGTTAGCAGCTCACTGCAAGCTTTAGGTATGGAAGAGATAAATAAAATTTACATTTGTGGTCTTTTTAATAATGCTGTAAAGCTCAATCATTTTTGTAAAGGCATATTACATACTCTGAGCAATACCACCACAAAGTGCCTAATATTCCCTCTAACGCCACAAGATAACAGTGCAAATCCTTCACTTTTCTGCATGAGAACAGTACATGTGTGTAATTAGAGAGTCTCACTCCCAGCTCATTACAAGTGGATGTAATTTAAACTTGTTCTCTTCCACCACCTGCCAATGCATCCCTGAGGCCAGGCTCATTATAACAGTGTTCATGCCCAGCTTTTCCACCGGGAATCCTGGGAGCATGGCTGCGCTTGATCTGAAGTCACACTCCATTAAGCCCATTACCAAATGGTATTTTGCCACAGAGAACCAACGGATTTGCTTGAATGTTGATCAAGAGGCACTGCTCTGAGGAGAACTAGCGGTAATTGCAAAAGGGCACTAATTTATTTCCTCCAAAATGATAATATGACTTTAAGTGCTGGGAAGAGAGTTCAGTTGAGTAGGAAATGACTACCAAAAAATCCAGTGAGCAATTCCACATAATTACATTACATTGCAGAGCTAAATTTTATCTAGTTAGAAACAGGTAACTACAGCTACTGTGCTCCAAGTTTGCAAACAAAATGTTTAGATGTCCACAGAACAGCTCTGCAGTTCCATGTGTGTGTTTTGAGTTTACCTGAAGGTAGATAAAATTCAGCTCTGAGGAATTCCAGTTGATATCATTATTCATAACACAATTACATACCTCTGAGACAGATTTCAAGTTTTCATTTCAAACATACTATCAGAGCATCCATTCCCAAATATTACCCTGATATTTGTGCAAGAAAACCAAGCTGCAATTGAATATGTGCAGTTTTCATTGGGAAAATGTTTTTCACGAATTCTTCAAGTGATACACTAGTGTCTTGGTCCATATTTAACCATTCCAGAAATCAGGACACTTCTGCATCTCACATTAATCACTTGACAGCAAAGACCAAATAAAAGAAGACACATGCAATATTTGATAACTCTAGAAAGTATTCTGCCCTAAAATAGTGTTTCCAGTAAATTTTCACTTTGTTTGGACCTGAACTGTTGATACACTGAGACTGAAGTCTCGGTTTCATTTTGCTTTCACATAAGCATAATAAACATTTAAATGTAACATGCATGTAAAAAACATTTTACATTTTGGAGGGCAAATATTTTAAATACAGACTTTTTGAAGTATCACAAAACTAAACTCATTTACTGAAAGATACTGTATTAAAATATACATTTATAGGCAGCGATAAAACTACTGTGCTGTATTTCCATAAAAATCAAAATTTCAATTCTGATTATGTGGAATGTATTTCAGTATAAACAATTAAAAAATAGACACATATACTCCATAGCACACAGCATCAAAATTAGGATAGTTTTAAGTAATCCTAAAAACCTCTAAACCTACCTAAACTGAACTCTAAAATCGGCTCATCTGGATCCTGAATGTTTCCTGTAAATCAGAAAGTTAAAACAAGATTACCAACCACTGCTGTCATCCAAATCTTTCCCAGTAGTCAAGGTCATACAAGGGAAGCAATTATATTTTACAGAAAATAGGAATATTATAATTCAATGAATCATGAATAACATTTAAAATATTTATTAGCTAATCTTCAGTATCTAAAAAATGACCTGAAAAATCTGACACGATCTCATTTAACAAAACACGTCATGACAACCACTGAAATATGCAAAATTCCACAAAATTATATGGACTGTAGGAACAAGGAATCCCAAATCTTAGCAGAAGACAATAGGATTAAAGCTATTTAGTGTCTAGCCACTATTATTAAATTAAACACATTTCCTCTGTAATCAGTGAACAGGGAGAAGTTTGAAAGTATTTGTCTTGCTCGCTAATTAGAGAAAGCCTCCAGTGGTTATAATCCTAATTTACTCATCAATAAAGACAAAGGAAAGTAATCTCAGTTTCCCAATTCTCCTGAAAATTGTACCCAATGTCATACGAGGAGGTTGCCAAGACTCTCCCTTAGCAACCTTGACATTCATCTGTTATTTTTCCTCCTATTGCTCTGACTGGTCTATTGACAATGCAGAGACTTTTTACAACACTGCGGGGGTAATTCCTTTATCCCATTCCCTCCAAATAACCATGTGCACCTAAACCTCCTGGCAACGGAAAGAAGGAACTTCAGGAAGTGTAAAGGAGACACTGCAGAGGGAGCACAGGGAGGAGCGGAGCCGCAGCTGGCCCCACGGCCCGTACCTGCCAAGGAGAGGCCCAGCATGTCCGAGGCGATGTCGATGGTGGAGGCCCGTTGCACCGTGCGGGATTTGGCGCCGTGGCGGGGGCTGTGCTCCCTCGCTGTCATTTTGTCATGAAGATCCCCTCCGTTCCTGCTGCCAGGCCTCAGGGCCGCTGGTCTCGCGGGGGATCAGAGTGCAGCAGGTTGTCTCCAGTTCCTCTGCCACCGCCCAGGCAGGCAGAATGAGGGCAAAAACACACGCCGCAATTTTAGGCCACGCTCATAGCAGCAGCAAATCTACAGCCACACTATTGCCTCAGGCCGTTCAAATAAAATGCTCAAGGCAGATCTAATGCCCGCTAACTCAGCTGGCACGAACACGGCATCTGCAAGTGGCTGATGCCTGTGCCACACGCATGAAAAGCTTTTTGGTCAGACGACCGGGGCTGAGAGGGACTCGTTAGCAGAGCAGCTGCTTTCTCCCTGCTTTGTCTAAGTTATTAAATCACCCTTAATGAAGTTTGCTGGGTTTTGTTGTCCTTGGGGAGCACAAGCAAATCTGTCTGCCTGCAGAGGCTGGACACCAGAGAAAGACAAAGGGACAATGGGGCGGCAGAGCATGGAACAAAAAGGCAGGAAATGTTGTTAGCGTCAGCGACGTCTTTCTGGACTCTACTGCCATGAGGAAGGGATGTGAAAACTATAAATAAAACTTGCTGGGCCAGAGTGAGGCTGAAGTTCTGGGACAGCAGTATAAAGAAAAGAGTTGGGGTCTGGCTGCCGATGCGGCGCATGGAGCCACATTGGCGCTTCTCCCTCGCCCTGTGTGTTACTGGTGAATGCAGGTACATGAAGGATCTTCTTCCCCTCCAGGTGCCTATAATGGCAGATGTTGTGCCAGGGAACAAACGTGCAAACATGTCATTTCTCTGCTAAATTTGGTGAAATGTGGTGCGCTTGGTTTGGCTGAGGCATTTGAATGTTCCGTCCATGTGGCACATCAACATTGCAGTTAGAAAGGGTCTGTGTTCACTTCATAGTGTTATGACTAACTCTGTTCATTTAGGAAGTGAGAGGAGCAAAACGTAAAAAACTGAAAAAGCATTACAGTGACCAATGCCTCCACTGCAGCCCCTCATTCACACTACCAGGCATCTCAACCACGCCACATTATGAGAAGATTTCTCTTGTTCTTCTTAAGCTGAGCCACCTAGCAATGAGCAAGATGCATTCTGCTTAAATACAGCACCTACCTTCTACCTATAACTTAGGCAGAAACTTTAGATAGGACGGAAGTTACCCAGAGAAACCTGATCTACCTAAGTCAAGCATCTAAATTTAAGTTAGATCCTCCCTCTGGACAATTTGAAAAGGATTGACCTGTCTCCAGTGACTCTGCAGGGAACTTGAGACCCTTCTAAAACAGGACTGCTTCACTGGAAATCTAAAATTTAGATGCAAGTTAAAGCTTGAAGACAAATTAATGTATTGAACACAACCCTGGCCACTTAACATGAGCTTAAGAGCGGAGTTTTAAACTTGGAGCTCCTGCTAAGGAGGAAGGATGTGGGCCCTGTCCAGCAGGGAATGGAAGCAGCAGAAACTGAGAGCCCTGAACATCCTGACCTGCCAAAGCTTTGTGATTCACTGACAGCAGGCACCGTGACACTCTGCTTACAGACGTAATATGTCATGGCAGCCAGCGACTAAAGCAGGCAGGTTTCACACAGAATCACTCAATAGTTGACACTGGAAGGCACCTCTGGGAATCATCTTGTCCAACCCTCCTGCTCCACGCAGGGGCAGCTAGAGCAGGTCACTCGGGGCCATGTCCCATCGGGCTTTGAAGACCTCTAAGGATAGTGACTCCACAACCCCTCTGGGCAACCTGGTTGTTCCAGAGTTCACCAGCTCTCACCATATACACTTGGACTCAAGGATCTTGAAGGGCTTTCTAACCATAATGATTCTATATGACTCTGCTTTTTTTTTTTTTCCTGGTTAAGTGTTTAGTGAACCATCAGCCTTCCTGGAACGGTTCTGAACCTCTAAAATTTGGTCAATTAAAACTTGTATTGAAACTCTACCAGTTTTCAAGTCCTTCCATTCTCCTGACTTTTCTTTTCCTCCTTGGAACAATAGCTTTTACTCAGTTGCTTCATTCTGTAATGCTCATACTAAATGTTCATTAAGCTAGAGTTTTTAATGAAACAGAACTCTTACAAAATGTACTTGTGGAGATTGAGGCAGAATGTCCTCCTTCCTGATTGTATAAACAATCTAACAGAGAATGACTAACACCTTCTCATAGCTCCAGGTCAGAAAGCAGATAGGTGAGACAATCTGCTCATTTTCTAGCCAAGATTTCTGTAGTTGCTGACCCCCTTAGAAAGGATCGGTCCTGGAGGAGCTAAAATGGGGACATACATTCAGTTTTAAAACTACTCTTAATTAAATGTTACTCCTTGTTACTCCTTGTTTCTTCAAATGCTCACATAAACTGCAATATTATTATTCTCACCCAGTGACACATTTTCAATTTCCCTGCAGTATCTCATACTTACAGAGGGCTCTTCTCCTCTTGTGTGGATGGATTTTGCATTTCATAACATCAGTTAAGTCCACATCTAAAAATGAACAAAATAAGCAGTGTAAGTAATTGATCTTTTCTAGAGCTTAACCGGAGTACTCGGAAAGTCTCTTCTAAAGGCACTAACTCCTCAGATCAGCTGTAAATTTCACTTGTGATTACTAGCTCTCATATTAAAAGTTTACTGAAAACTAAGCACAACACCACTGGCAAACAGAGGATGAAGTGATATTCAGGTGGACCCTGCCCAGCACTAGGCCTCGCAACAGCTAACACAGCAGAAACACACACAAAGATAAGATTATGAAGCAGAGGATTGATTTCAGGTCAGCATGTGGTGAGTGGGTGAAATGGCAGTCAGAAACATATGCTAAAATGTTTAGAGCAAGGCTTGTCGCTATTAAGGGAATGTATATGGCATGAGTTAGGTAGCATTTGTTACTACACTTGCTTTCCTATAGCTAAGCTTGGAATCAAAGCCACAATTTCACAATTTTGCTGTTTGAAAGAGTTATAGCTGCTGCGGTCAGGAGAAAAGGGCATGCAGAGCCAAAACACAAGTCCAGAAGATTGGGATCTGGGGCTGCTTCTCCACTGAGTGAAATTGCTAGGCCACGCAGGCTTCTAATGACACCTAGCAGTGAGCATAATGGAAGAAAAGTAAATTATCTAGCAGTATAGTACAGGACAACTGCAGGTTTGTATTTGTTAGTGATACCATCTAACTCAAGCACATTTACTCATAGGATTTGCCTATGTACGGGATGCAGATGCCCAACCTAAGCTTTTTGATTCCATTGCCTGCCCCATCAATCACCCAGGATTGCTCAAGACTACAAGTCTGAGTCCTTACCGCTTACAGAAAGGGGTTCATCTCACTCAAAACTGTGTGGGAGGCAGGGATCTGATCTCAGCTCATCACCCAGCTTCTGTCTACAGTCAGTGGCAAGACACGAGCACCTCCGGAGAATGAATCACCCCTTCACCTAATGTGGGTAGGATGAATCATCCCCAAAAGACACCCCTTCCCCTCACTATAAAGAGAATTTAGATGACTAGCTTAGGGCAGATGCTGGAGCTGGGCAAAATGACAGATCCCACAGCTGTCACACTTGGGCAGTGATGTTTTCCCTCCACTCACCGCAGCCTGTTTGACATGCCCAAATAACAGGTGCTCTGATCATTCTCTCAAACTAAAATGCTTTTTTTTTTTTCACACAGAATCACAAGATGGTTGAGGCAAAGCACATGGCACAGGGTGGCATCCAGGTGAGTTTGGAAGATCTCCAGAGAAGGAGACTCCACAACCTCTCTGGGCAGCCTGTTCCAGGGCTCTGTCACCCCCACAGTAAAGAAGTTCTTCCTCACATGGAGATGGAACTTCCTGTGTCTCAACTTGCACCCGTGACCCCTTGTCCTGCCACTGACCACCACCGAGAAGAGTTTGGCCCCATCCTCCCTACATTCACCCCTCAGCTACTTGTACATGTTGATCAGATCTTCTTTCAGTCTTCTCTTCTTTAGGCTAAACAGGCCCAGTTCACTTAGTCTTTCCTCATAAAAAGACAACTTTTCAAAATATTTATGTCTCCAGTAGACAAGCAAAATATGGCCTACAATTAAAATGAAGAAAATGAGCACAACTGTCATAGTTTTGCAATCGTGTTTTTAACAGAGATCCATGGAAGCACGATTCCTTCCAACCTGAAGGTAGTGCAAACACACCAGTCTCCTCACAGAGCACTTAAAGAAGCATCATTCTGCTCAAAGGCTGATGTAATTCAGTCATCACATCCAGGCAAACTCAACCTTGAATACAGCACGATGCACTTAGTAAGGACAAAGCTGCTGGTTACACCTAACACTACAGAGAGTGGATGCTGAAATATGTGCAGCCTTCTCCCTCAAGTACTTTTGGTGCAAGCAGAGGTTTCAACTGTGGCTTCCGCAGCAGTGCTGTTGACCCCAATACCAGTAACTTCTCGCCTCTGTTACACACGAAAGCCTGTTACCAGCCTTCTGGGCTATTATGCAGACAGTTATTTGCTGCTTCCGCTAGTGGAAATGCACGGGGCACCAAAGAAACAATCTTCACCAAATGCCCTTTTGGGCAGGCTACCTTCAATACTGGCTACTGACCATGGGAAAGACACCACTCCCTCAGCTGTACAGCCCCACATCCTGTGTGCTCAGCACTTTCATACACTTGGTCTCGCTCTGGTTGCCTGAAAGATCTCGAGCAAAAATGATTAGCATCTCTGGGTCCCCAAATGACTTATTCCAAGAGGAGTCTAATATTCTCCTTTTCTTCACGTCTGCTCTGGCAAAGTGTTCGTTTCCCTTCTTAATAAAAAAAATCTCCTACTACCCTTGGAAACAAAAGTTGTCAGCTGAGCTCAAACCTTCCTCCACCCTAACACCTACTTTCTGACAAACATTGCAAAACTAGAGGAAAGTATTTTTTTCCTAATTCAAACATCATGAGGCAGGAGGAAGAAGTCACCACAGCTAACATCAAAACCAAAATCCACTTTGAGACTCTACTTTTCTATGGCCATATCATTCTGGGCTTAGGGCACTTGGCCTGGTACAGAAGCATGCTGAGTAGAAAATGGAACAGCAGGAGGATGCTAAACACTACTGCTACACCTCCACGAAGATAATAACATAAAATAATAGAGGAAGAGAACACCTCATTGCTTATTTAATGTTCTGAAAATAAATGTCTAATGATGCAATCCTGGTAAAAGTTTTCCATGATTTCCATTATCTCCAAGAGCGAGTAAAGAAACAGCAGTGCAAAACTGTCTGAACTGCAGTGAGTTTTACCACTCTATGGACTTCTGAAGCGCCTTTGCTTTCACAGTACCAAGTCAGATTACAACTCCATCTGCAGTACAGTCTTTTTTTAAGACATCAAAAGGGAACTTTCAGGCAGTTGGATTCTTCAGATAAAATCTTAGAGAAAAGGTTCTTTTACACAGGTTTAGAACATATATTGCTCCAGCAATACACAGAGTGACCAAGAAAGTAAAAATGAATAAAGCCTGAAACAGTATGCATTTTCTCATTAACTGTATCACACTCATCTTTAACATATTTATAATTTTTTTTTTCCTTTTTAACCTCAAACCCATTGAGAACCATGGCAGGAAACACAGGGTTTGCCATGCTGGCTTCTAGTACGTCCAACATCCCATCTCCCACTGCTGTTGCAAAGGCAGGTGCCTTTGGAACAAGGAACTCCATGTGCCTGCTGCAGGGACGGAGCTGAAGGTCTGGATCACTCTCTGTCACCTGCAGCTTGAGAACTGGGCAAATCAGCTCAAGGACAGCAGCTCCCAGCAACACCCTTCTAAGACTGATGCCAATTAAGAGCCATTTTCTACAGTCTCTTGACTACTTAGTTCTTCTGTCTCAGTTAGTCACGGGCTGCATGTCCTGGATGTGAGAGAGTTCTCAACAGCAGGAAAAGTCCAGGCCACAAGTGTGACACGTTGGGTCACACTCTCCTTTTCCAGATGAGCTTGCAGGGTCAGCAGCACAGGCTCTGTCTAAGCATGCTCTCCTGTCAGAGCCACATGTGTAGAACGAGCAGGTGGTGCCAAAGAAGGGACATCCACACAAGGTGCTCTCAGAGGCTCTACCTCAGCCTACTGGCGCTGCGCACTGGACGCGCGTTCGTGAGCGGAGAGCGCTGAGCGTGCTACCAGAGCGCGCTGCACCACTACGGGTCAGGCACAAGGCAGCCTGTTCACGTGCTCCAAGACGTGCACCAAAGGCAGTAACTGCAGATGAATGCAATATTCACTCAGAAATGAGTTCCTAAAATGCCAGCTTTGCTATTACTCATTCATTCTCCCTGAGCTACCAACAGTCCAGCCACAGCTGGTGACCAACGCGTAAGCTGTTTCGGTGCCAGACATTGTTCCAGGGTTGGCAATGAAGTCCCCCTCCTTTCACTCCCTCCATGACTCACCACATGCTCCTTACTATGTCCCCTGAGGAAGATGAAGGAAGCCAAGTGGCTTGGAAGACTTGGCCAAGTGGTGAGGAAGATGAAGGAAGCCTAGCATCTAGTATGGCCCTTTGCTTCTCAATGAAATTGCTTCCCCACCAGGAACATCCTCAGCAGGTGCTAGTCCTTCCCCTCCACTAAGAGGCTGCATCATTATCTCTTCTCACTCAGCCCCTTAAATCTACGTTCCCCTCACAAAGTGATTTGATGTCCCATCTTGCCCTGACCAGAATCATGACTAAGACAAACCAAAAAAAGAAAAAGTCTGTCCCAAACAGTCTTTCTTGCCACTTGCTAAAGTCCCCCTAAGAATTTTTATGAGGTGGGTGATCTTAACAAGAACAGGTAAAAGTCTTTAAGACGAGCAAGAAATAAGATACTGCAAGACACACTGAATGCACTGATGCAGCATGGAAATCCCCAAATGCGGCCTGTCAGTGGCATTTAGATAAAACACCATTTCAGCAGCAGGAAGTGGCTTTCTTTTGCTTTGTTTCCCCTTCCACCCTCTCCCACACCAAATCATTCTCCTCTTCCTCTAGAGCACTTCCCACCCATGAAGTTATTAGAGGCTTCAGAAAACCTAATTCTATCTTAGTATATTTGGATACTTTTGACAGAAAACTGCAATTTGGGCCACTTAATCCTTTGTGACTAGAGATGAAAAGTCTTAATTTCAACCCCTTAAACACAATCAGTGGGATTCTTAGCTTAATGAAATAAAGTTTTAATTTCACTTGCGATCACAACATTTCTATTTCTCTAGCACTCCCTCTCCAAGCACAGAAACGCGCAGGCCCACGCGTGGCCGGGCGCGTTCGCAGCGCTGAGGTTTGCATGCAGGAGCAGCAAAGGGCAGAGCTCAGCTCTTGCCTTTTGCAGAAGAGCCTTCACGGAGCCGTGCAAAGTACAGGAGCGCGGAGGCACTGCCACGCTACAGAGCGGCCAAAGGTTCAGCCCTCGCAGCCTCCTCCACTGTTGCCGCATGAAACTGCCAACAAATCATCTTTTCTCTAGAAGA